AAATCATTTCTGACTTGCATAACAATAGGATACCATGAAGTTTTGCTTGTTTGGGTGAGCAAAGCACATTTCTGCAGAACTAAATTTATTTCACTGAGTGAATTCCATCTCTGTCCAGTATATTTAACACGATGCATATTGCTGCCCGCCACCCCAATCTCCCAGCAGAATCCAGGGTTCGTGTTTCCTATTGGAAATAAGGCACAATGGAGACTGTGGTGTCTTTAGGATATATAGTTAATAGGCACATATATACAACCTGAGCCTGCAATGAAGGGACTCCCAGCATTAACACCCTAAGGAAGTCTTGATTCCCCCCCATAGCTACAGCCTTGGATTCCAGCAGAAATCAGCCATGGCTTTCTCTCTGCCTTTCCAGACTGCAGCGTTTTCCTCTAGGTCACATCACAGCAAACTCTGCCCTCTGACTCAGGCTTTGTCCCCACCCATTTTGCATCTGGCACACAGCCCTCTTTCCTTCGTTCTCTTAACAGCCCATCGCACAGGCGGTTACCTCACCAGGAAGATAGCCTGGCTTGAATAACTTTTAACACTTGCTAGGTTTAAAGTTGTTGGGCGCCTACAAACTCACAACAGTATCTTCTGCCCTTCTGCCTTCAGCCCGTCTACCTGAAGGAGTGTCTCCACCCCCATTGTTCAGCCCGGACTCTAAGGTCCAGCTCCGAGGGCCTTCTAGCGGTTCCCTCACTGTGAGAAGCGAAGTTACAGGGAACCAGACAGAGGGCCTTCTTGGTGGTGGTGCCCACCCTGTGGAACGCCCTCCCATCAGAAGTCAAGGAGATAAAGAACTACATAACTTTTAGAAGACATCTGAAGGCAGCACTACATAGGGAAGTTTTTTTATTTCTGATGTTTTATCGTGTTTTTAGTAATTTGTTGGGAGCTGCCCAGAGTAGCTGGGGAAACCCAGCCAGATGGGCAGGGTATAAATAAAAAATGATGATGATGATATGATGACGATGATGATAAAACGCTTTTGCTGTTCATGTGACACTTTTACCCCACTAGACAGCATAGCTGTATATGTGCAGCACAGACCTAAAATAGCTTAAATGTTATACCAGGGGTCAGCAAGGTTTACTGGCCATGGGCCTGATCACTCCCACGGAGATCATCCATGGGTTGGACTGGTGCAGCGCGATGCCAGAAATCGCATCTGCACATGTCCGCAGTGCCGGAAATTGCTTCTGCGCATGCCCAGACACCAAAAATCACACCTGCACAGAAGTGATTTTCGGTGTCTGGACATATGCAGATGCGATTTCTGGTATCTGTGCATGCACAGACGCCATTTCTGGCGTCGCTCGGCAAGTCCCTGTGCCTGATCCTGAAGTTGAGGCTCCAAGATTTGGCCACCTCATGAGAAGAGAAGACTCCCTGGAAAAGACCCTGATGTTGGGAAAGATGGAGGGCACAAGGAGAAGGGGACAACAGAGGACCAGATGGCTGGACAGTGTCCTCGAAGCTACCAGCATGAGTTTGACCAAACTGCGGGAGGCAGTGGAAGACAGGAGTGCCTGGCGTGCTTTGGTCCAGGGGGTCACAAAGAGGCGGACACAACTAAACGACTAAACAACGAAGTCAAGCCACGAAACAAAGTCAGCTACAGGGAGAGGCTTTGCCTCCCAGCAAATGATCCTGCATCTGGCTCCTGCATTTTATATGCACTGAACAAACACATCAGAAACAGAGCTCAGCAGCCTCCCAGGGAAGACTCTACGTTCCTTCACTTTATTTATTACAAAGCTCCGCAAAGACACACATTCTTTTTTTAACCTAACATTTCAGCTGGAACTGACTTTAAATGTCAATGATTTACTCTGAGCTTCCTTCCTTTGTGTTATATATGCTAAGAGTCTAGTACCATGCATGCTTCTTCAAATGCTGAAAGCCCAAGTCAGGTATACCCTGAGTAAAACTTAGTTGAAGGCCACCCTGAAACCTTGCATGGCCATGTATTGCCACCCCTCTAGTTTGTTTGTGCTCACCCCCCCAGCACTGATTATTTCTTTGAGATGAGACATTTCTCCATTTAGGGGCTGAGCAGTGAATGCTAAAGAAGATTCACTTGCACAAATTAGTTTATTTATTGCTTGTGCTGCGCCAGCATATTTAACACATGAAATGCAATCTTGTTATATTTTCCTCCTGGAAGGGACTATAGCGCAAAAAGTTTTCTTTAGATGAATACATTTCAGTCATCTTAGCCAGGTTCAGTCAGTTGCTTCAGATTAAGCCATCTCCATGGCATAATTGCAGGCTGTGAAACAAAACGAAACAAATGTCTATGGTGGACTATTAACATTTCTATGTATGGAAGTGAGAGCTGGACCATAAAGAAGGCTGATTGCCGAAGAATTGATGCTTTTGAATTACGGTGCTGGAGGAGACTCTTGAGAGTCCCATGGACTGCAAGAAGATCAAACCGATCCATTCTGAAGGAAATCAGCCCTGAGTGCTCACTGGAAGGACAGATCCTGAAGCTGAGGCTCCAATACTTTGGCCACCTCATGAGAAGAGAAGACTCCCTGGAAAAGACCCTGATATTGGGAAAGTTGGAGGGCACAAGGAGAAGGGGACGACAGAGGACGAGATGGTTGGACAGTGTTCTCGAAGCTACCAGCATGAGTTTGACCAAACTGAGGGAGGCAGTGGAAGACAGGAGTGCCTGGTTCATGGGGTCACAAAGAATCGGACACAACTAAACGACTAAACAACAACAACAACATTAACATTTCTCAGCTTCCTTAGTTCTGAGCCTGCCAAAGTCAGAGCCCTGTTCAGGGGCACCAAAATGGTTCAGCTCCACGATATGGGATCGTAGGGCTGGAAGGAACCAGAAGACAAAGCCTCCAACATTCCCCAGATGAAAACAGGGACATTTCTCACTCCCCCCAAACTGACACCCCTCAACCCCCTTTTTCCGCCCCCGACCTGAGCATTTCCACCTCCCCTTCGCCAACCAGACACAGCAGACACCACCAAACTCCTGAATCCTGTTTTTATTTTAAAACACACACCACCAAATAATTTTTAGAAAGGGGTTCTCCCTTTCTTCCTGCGCAGGGCAGCCCTTGGGTTCAGCATCCGCATATTGCTATGGTAATGCAGACACACATATGGAGCTTTCATTAAACTATGGCTTCATTTAGCATGCCAGACTGGAACGCTGGTGAACAGCCCTCTTTGAAGTTTTATGAAATGGTGCCAAAATGCAGTTCTGCACCCTTCTGGAAACCTCAAACTTTCCCAAGGAATCCATGCTTCCACGGAATTGCATGACTAATTCTGCATCACCAGTGTGGCTCAGCAAAGGGCCAAAGCTCAGAGGCAGATCGACTGCTTTGAATGCAGAAGGTCACAGATTCAGTCCCTGTGGGTGGCGCTGTGGGTTAAACCACAGAGCCTAGGACTTGCCGATCAGAAGGTTGGAGGTTCGAATCCCTGTGAGCTCCCGTTGCTCGGTCCCTGCTCCTGCCCACCTAGCAGTTCGAAAGCACGTCAAAGTGCAAGTAGATAAATAGGTACCACTCCGGCGGGAAGATAAACGGTGTTTCTGTGCGCTGCTCTGGTTCGTCAGAAGCTGCTTAGTCATGCTGGCCACATGACCCGGAAGCTGTACACCGGCTCCCTCGGCCAATAAAGCGAGATGAGCGCCGCAACCCCAGAGTTGGTCACGACTGGACCTAATGGTCAGGGGTCCCTTTACCTTTACCTTAAAGCCTCTGAGAGTGGCTTCCGGTCAGTGCAGGCAACACTGACTTCAATATGGGCCACCCAGCCAGATGGGCAGCGTATAAATAATTGGTTCCTATTGGAAGACCAGACAAATGCTAGAACATTAGCAGTGGCCAAGTTTTTATTGGTGGTTGCAAGAACCAATAATCCCTATATTCTGAACGAAATGTTTGTTTAACCTGGAGGTAGGCTGTATGAATTGTGTATTACTTTGTAACAATATGTTGGGTCTCTGGACCATAATAAAGGTTGGTGATGATGAATATACAGGGCAAGAGGGCAACTTGTGGGTTTCCCAAGCCCTCTAGTTGGCCACTGTTGCAAACAGGATGCCCAAATCTCCATTTGCCTCCCTTTCCATAAATCCCTTTCCTTCTCCCCCTCCCTTTCTTTCTCACACCACCCACCCACTTAATTTGTTTGCTTTTTAAAGAACATTGGCAACCTCCATCAAGAAGCGCTGCAGAAACCACAGCATTGCTCAAGCATGTTATTGTGCATGACACATGCCTCCTAATGACTAGCGATGACTAATAATTTCATTTTATCTTGGGGGCGTCATAAAGGGTGTCAGCTCACTGACTGATGAAAGGGAGAGCAAAGCACACCTGTCTTAGCTCAAACATCTTCGGAAGCAATGACAAACCTAGACAGCATCTTAAAAAGTAGAGACATCACCTTGCCAACAAAGGTCCGTATAGTAAAAGCTATGGTTTTCCCAGTTGTGATGTATGGAAGTGAGAGCTGGACCATAAAGAAGGCTGATCGATGAAGAATTGATGCTTTTGAATTCTGGTGCTGGAGGAGACTCTTGAGTCCCATGGGCTGCAAGAAGATCAAACCTATCCATTCTGAAGGAAATCAGCCCTGAGTGCTCACTGGAAGGACAGATCCTGAAGCTGAGGCTCCAATACTTTGGCCACCTCATGAGAAGAGAAGACTCCCTGGAAAAGACCCCGATGTTGGGAAAGATGGAAGGCACAAGCAGAAGGGGACAATAGAGGACGAGATGGTTGGACAGTGTTCTCGAAGCAACCAGCATGAGTTTGACCAAACTGCGGGAGGCAGTGGAAGACAGGAGTGCCTGGCGTGCTCTGGTCCATGGGGTCACGAAGAGTCGGACATGACTAAACGACTAAACAACAACAGAGAAAACAGGGTAAAAAATGGGGGCTGTTGCATTCGCTTCCAGTAAATCCCAAATCCCAAAATAGATTGGGCTGCTGCAGAGAGATTCGGGATTTCTCCAAAGTGAAACAGTTTCCCTCCAAACTGATCTAAGATCAGTTTCCCAAAGCTTCAGTATCAACTTGGAGGAACGAAGTAACCAAGATTCCAGAAGACTTATTTATTTTTTTCTCCTTGTAACTTAAACAGTTTGCTTCTTTATCCTGAATAACTTTAGGGTGAATAGTAAATTCCTTGTATCCTCCCTGTGATGTCTTCCGATCACCCATTTCCTAGACCCGCAATCACCTTCATTATTCCTTTCTCAAGATTTTCCATTTTGTTGCCGTTCTTCTGGCACCCTTCAACTGTAGAAAACAGCCTAGTTAGTGAGATTATACAAGTTCACATCTCCTTCTCTGAGGGCTGTTGCCAAGGTTCATAATTACCTGGTTTGGAATATGAATTTGTTTAGCTTGTAATGCTCTGATGTATTACAAATTGAGCGTAATTTCCCCCATAAGTTATTCTCCAGCTCAGAATGTAAAATGAGATTCTTGCAGGTGCCATCGTCGGCTTCCAGCAAGCCGCATACCTAAAGCCTGCTGCTTTGCGGAAGCATGCAGGGGAAAATATTTAACGCTGGCCCCTGACTCTCGACGCACCTCTTGCGAATTGCTGTGAAACAACAGCCCTACTGAGGCCTTTTTACAATTATATTGGTAGAGGGGTTTTGAGGTTCCCAAGTTGAGTGGTACGGCATGCATGTAGGGCCCATGAAACCAAACAACAATTCCCAGGGGGTGGAGGGATGATTCTGCACATGCGTACGGCACCACCAATGTGCATGTGCCAATATTAAGAGCCAGGAGAGGATTCTAAAACACACACAAACACACAGCCAAACCGATGAGCATTTCCCAAATATACTCTAAGAAAGCACTGTCTCGAATCAAGTCGAGGGGAGCTTGGCTATCACTCTTTTCCGCCACATGCTGTCAAATCGCCGCCTGTGCTTCTCCATTTATAGGGAGATCTGTGAGCTCCACAGACATGTCTGAGTTTCCGTTTGGACCGTGACAATATACAATGGGAAGCAGAACGGTTGCAGCTCTTGCCGGAGATGAGCGTCAAGGCCATTTCCCCCTGTTACGCAGTCGTCTCTTTTCCTGGCAAATCACCCTCTTTAAGGTGAATGACCACCCAGGCGATTAAGGGCCAAGCATTTCCATATAGATGAATTATATTTAAACCACATTCTTAGAAGAATGAGGATGCATCGATTGGAAGGATCATGCGCAGTGAAGGAGAGAGGCGAGTTGCATTTCAGCTGCTACTCCAAACATGTTCTACCAGTCACTGCTTTGTGTGTGTGTGGCTGTATATATCATCTGTCACACACAACCACACACACAACACTGTCTTACTTTCCAGATTTCACCCTGGCAGAAAAGAGCCCTTGGAATAACTGCTGTTGTGCCGAAACAGAAATGCTCATTTTCTGCAATTATTCCTCACCTATGCTGTTTCATTCCATCTCTGCTGAAATGCCCATCCCCTGGCTCATTGCCTATACGGACTTGTACGTATTTTCGGGGGGGGGGGGGTTGCAGCTATCGTATAGCCCTGGTTCATCCTCTCCTCTCTATACCACACCACAACGGTGGCATTCTAATATAGCTTTCATTATTTCTCCGCACATCTCCCCTTCTTCTCCCCCCCCCCACTGCATGCAATAAATAAATAAATAAATGGCATAAATCATGGAAGCAGTTGGGGAGGTCTATAAAAACATAAGACGATGAATATTTCATCTCCCTCTATTTTATTTCCCTGCCTGCTCTGAATCTCCCCCAAAAGTTGTTAGTTCATTTATGAGATGCCTAGTTTCTTACATGGATTTTTTTGGCCGACTTTCCCAGCTTGTTTCCAGGGTCTGTCATTATATATGATTGGTTATTTTCAGCTGACTTTCTCCGATACGAGTTCGTCTCCTACCTCAGCATCTCAGCGGCTGATTCTTCCGCGTCAGGAAAATCGCTTGTTCCTCCTGCCTCGATTCTGTTTCCGGTTGGCCGAAGGAGAAAGTTACATGCTTGCAGCACAAATCTTTGATACTATAAACCAGCAAGCGCAACTATTTCGACTCCTGACCTGGCAGCGAGCGATGCAGATGAATCAGCTAAGAGTTTGATGCACAAATTACAAATTCTTGTTTAGGGGTTTGGGTTGTTGTTTTTTAATGTAACACAATTTAGACAAGTTAGTACAGGGCTAGCCACTGTTATGACCTGCAGATTTGTTTGACTCTTGACTCCCATCTGTCCCAACCAGCATGCTCAATGGTCAGGGATGTTGTGAGTCGGAGCCCAACAACACTTTACATTCGAAAAGCAGAAAGATATTTATTTGGAAATTAAAAAAATAGAAATAACAACAACAACAACAACATATTATTTATACCCCGCCCATCTGAGCACTCCCAACAGAATATTAAAAACACAATAAAACACAATAAAACATTAAAAACTCCCCTAAAACTAAAACTAATACAATAATTATATCAGCAAATCAGCCTGTTATCTCAAACAGATATGTAGTGCTATCCTATACAAATCTTCTTAGAAGCAACCCCAAAAGAGCTCAATAGAACTTACTCTGGAGTAAGTATGGGATTGTAGCCTTTAGCTATTAATTTAACTAATATTGCTTAGACCTGTTAGCTATGCTTCATGTTAAGCTATTTTCATACAATTTGCCATGCTATTGGTTATAACTTGCTGTATGGGGAACCACTCAGGGAAAATATACATTACATACTTCCATAATTTCCAGGAATGATATTCAGGGCACATATGTATTCACTGTGGATATGGTGGAGTTAATCCAGTACTTTCTGCTTGAACTGTTATAATTCCCAAAGCAGTGTATTATCAAGAAGGTATGTCCTGATATAAAATCCAGTTTGGCAGAGTTCATTTATATTGGAATATTGTGTGTGTGTGTGTGTGTGTGTGTGTGTGTGTGGAATTGCAATTGTCCCTCCTGTCAAAATTTATGCCTTATGGGCTGTTTGGGGTTTTGAAACTTTGGGAGTGCCAAATATACAGAAAGCACCAGACTGTATTACTAAAAGCCTTGTGAAATTTGTAACGAAGAAAGAGAATGATGAATCATAGAATTAGGAGGGACCGCGAGGGTCATCTAGTCCAGCCCCCTGAGATGCAGGAATCTTTTTGCCCAATGTGGAACTTGAACCCACATCCCTGAGATTAGGAGTCTCAGGCTCTACTGACTGAGCTAGCGAATCAATCCAAGCTTACCTTTTTTTGAAAAGGAAGAAAAAAGCCTAGACAGCTTATTGCGTACAAATGTTTAACAAATGCTCCATCAACCTTGCCATAGCAGTCATGGTGATGATGATTGCATGGCAAGTCCCCTCCCCCTTTGTGAAATAAAGACACAGGATACTTTATTTAAGGTTAATGGGCTTAAAAGGCCACGACTTTATTGATTACAGGAATTGAGAGGTATTGGCTTAGGCATTGGTTCCTATCGACTACCGGGCTTCAGCCCAATTGCATGAAGACTGGGAAGGGTTAACCAGCAGACGGGGGAGTCCTGCTAAAGTACGTCAACTAGGATCCCCCGGGTGTCACCGCTTGGGGGCGTGCCTTAAGCCCACACCTCCATAGGCTTCGGACAGGGCAACGCCCCCCTGAGTCCTTTACCGGACTACCCTTTGCTTGGGGGAAGGTGATGGCGCTTCCTTCCCCTCCTTCATTTGCATAACAATACCCCTGCCAATGCCTAACCGCCAATACCGGGAAAGTTGTGACGTTTGCTACAAGGTAGGCGAAAAAACCAAATGGCTGGTGCCAATTTGCCATGTGGAAAAATTCCTACCAGGCCCCTTAACGGCGACCAACCGGAGTCCATAGCAAGGTCAGAGAGCTAAACCTAAAGGGCGGGTGGGGTGGGAAACCGCAGCCACTGGAACGGGGAAGAGAGGAAAGTCCTTGGGCGCGCCAGCCTTAAATGTTCCAGGCCATGCCTCCCCAGCCAGCCGATTGGCTGGCCGGGTCGATGACGCACCCGAGGATTCCCTTACTCTCGCGGGGGCTGTGAGCCAGCCCCCGCGTGTGTGGGGAGGGTGTGGGCCCGCAACCCCACCTCCTCTCCAGCTCGGAAGTGGCTTTACTATTATTATTGAGTTTTATAAACAAGAATAATGTTATACAAATAAGTATACCAAGTTTTCTCATGTCATTTGTATATCACAAAAATAGCATAATAAATGTGGGAAAATATCTCAATGTACCGTATTTTTCGCTCCATAAGACGCACTTTTTCCTTCCTAAAAAGTAAGGGGAAATGTTTGTGCGTCTTATGGAGCGAATGCAGGTGGGAGGCTCTGCTCAGCGCTCCCTTTAAAGAATTTCTTTTTCTTGATTTTCCCCTCTAAAAACTAGGTGCGTCTTATGGTCAGGTGCATCTTATGGAGCAAAAAATATGGTATGTTTCATTATTAGTGGTCAATGCATCCTGGTTCATCAATTGGTTTAAACAATTAGGATGAACTGAAACAAGCCCTGCCTTGAAACCAATAATAATAATAATAATAATAATAATAATAATAATAATAATAATAAACCTTTATTGTCACTACACCAGCTGTGTGCAGTGAAATTAAACGAGCCCCCCCCCCCTTACACTCAGTCTTGTTCACTGTGTGCTTGTCGGAAGTCAATTGCACCACAAATTTTTTCCATTCAGCAGCCCAACAGCCTACGGATAAAAACTTTTTCTTTAACCTGTTGGTGCTGCTGACTATACTTCTGTATCTCCTGCACGAAGGTAGGAGATTAAAGAAGTGCTGGCCAGGGTGTGAGTTATCCCTAAGAATTTTCCTCGCTCTCCTGAGGCAGCGTCTCCCGCGATGTCATCTAGCGAACTCTGGGGACAGCCCATGATGTCATGTGCTGTATTCGCCACCCTCTGTAGGGACTTCCTGTCCGCGGCTGTCAAACCACGTACAGTCATACCTCGGGTTACAGACACTTCAGGTTGCGTTTTTTCAGGTTACGGATGTGCCAAAACCCGGAAGTACCAGAACGGGTTACTTTCGGGCTTCGGCGGTTGCACATGCGCAGAAGCGCTAAATCGCAGCCCGCATGTGCGCAGATGCGGCGCTGCGGGTTGCAAACATGCCTCCCGCACAGATCACGTTTGCAACCCGAGCGCCACTGTACCAATAATCCCATTTCTCTTCCTCTCATCCCCTTCAGTTTGTATTAGTGATAGTTCAACGCCTAGCCAGAATTACCAGCTACTCACCCTAAGTTGGGTACAGGTTTTGGAGATGATCTTTGCCCTTGTTGCCTCTGTGAGTGAGATGTGATTGAATTAGGGCAGCTCCCCAACCGATGTTTTTCTGGGCTCTTAGGAAATTGAGTTTCTTCCACACAAGCAATTACCTTCAAAATTGCCAGCCTCTTTTCATCAAAGGTAAAGGGACCCCTGACCATTAGGTCCAGTCGCAGATGACTCTGGGGTTGCAGCGCTCATCTCGCTTTATTGGCCGAGGGAGCCAGCGTACAGCTTCCGGGTAATGTGGCCAGCATGACTAAGCCGCTTCTGGTGAACCAAAGCAGTGCACGGAAACACCGTTTACCTTCCCGCTGGAGCAGTACCTATTTATCTACTTGCACTTTGACGTGTTTTCGAACTGCTAGTTTGGCAGGAGAAGGGAGTAAGCAACGGGAGCTCACTCCATGGCGGGGATTCAAACCACCAACCTTCTGATCAGCAAGTCCTAGGCTCTGTGGTTTAACCCACAGCACCACCCGCGTCCCCCTCTTTTCATTACGGGAATTCAAATGACGTTGCTACCAAACCATCATATCCCCGGGCTTCCTACATGGCCTTCTCATCTTTGGTGGTGATTTTCTAATTTCAAGCACAAGCACAGTGCCAGCCTGTATAACTTGTGCTGCAATTTCCTGGTTGTGCTGCCATTGCCTTTCCTGATGCAACACCCGGGTGGGCATTGCTGTTGGACTCCAGTTCCCATCATCCTGAAGCAGGGCTGGATTTAGGTTTGATGAGGCCCTCAGCTCCTGAAGGTAATGGGGCCCTTTCTATGTCCAGCTGTCCTTTGTCAACAACAAATTGTCGCTGTTTTTTGTGTTGAATTTATGCTATATGGTAATTTATGGACCTCATAGGTATCCCAAGCCACTTGCACATGTTGCGATGCAACCAGTCCATGCAGAATGTAGGCACCCTGTACACTGGTACCTCGGGTTAAGTACTTAATTCGTTCCGGAGGTCCGTTCTTAACCTGAAACTGTTCTTAACCTGAAGCACCACTTTAGCTAAAGGGGCCTCCTGCTGCTGCTGCGCCGCTGGAGCACGATTTCTGTTCTCATCCTGAAGCAAAGTTCTTAACCTGAAGCACTATTTCAGGTTTAGCAGAGTCTGTAACCTGAAGCGTATGTAACCTGAGGTACCACTGTATATAGAAAGGAGCAAACCAGGGGTATTTGAGGGAGCAGGCTAGCAGGCGGGGCCCACGACTTACATCATAGGAGCCTACACAACACAAACACTGTTGCTGGATGTAGGTTTTATTTTATTTGTTTTTTTTATCTTATATATTGAAAATGTACATCCAGGTTTCTTTTCCTTTAATTTTTTGGGGGGCCCTCAAGATTAGTACTTTTAGGCAATAGTAAACAAACAGTGCATTACCCTTTTTCTGAGAGTGCTGAAATGCATATTTACCGTACGAATTTCCCAATATCGCCTTAATTCAGGTGGCAATTTGACAAAAGTGCATCAAACCATCCAGCATATGGCTACAGGGATTTCATAACTAGCTTCCACCCCCCAGGGAGGAAATAGTTCGATTTTAATGTTTTCTCTGAACTAGTGGACGTTCACTAGTAGTACACGAATGGCTAACAACTTTGTGACACGAATGTAAGCAGTTATAGGGAAACGTTTCTTATAGATTGCTTTATCAATGTAAGATTATACCGTACATAAAATAAATACCT